TCTGTGTTTATGTTGAAAAGAGTGGAGGACAGTGGTGAGCCTTGAGGTAATCCAGCTGTAATTCTGCAGGGATTGGATGTGTGATTGTTAACTGTGACTGAAAATGTTTTATCTTGAAGAAAGCTATTAATGATATTAATTAGATAATTAGGAGTACCTATTTCTTTAAGTTTGAATATTAATCCAGGATACCACACTTTGTCAAAATCTTTCGAAATGTCTAAAAAGGTAACTATTGTATGGTGTTTTCTTTGAAATGCCGTGTGTATGTGCTCCATGATTCTTAATAATTGATGAGAAGTTGTAAATTTATTAGTGAAGCCAAGTTTGTGCATTGGGATTGTTTGAGTTTTATTCAGATGGGAATTTAGTCTTTTAAGGATTGTTTTTCTAGGATTTTTGACAGAGTGGGAAGAAGGCTTATGGGTCTGTAGTTGTCAGTGTTGGTGAGATTCTTGTATGGCTTGGGAATGGGTATTGCATGTCAATTTTTCCAAATAACGGGGAAGTAGTCAGTTCTAATTATTGAATTGTCAATATTTGTGATATATGCTATTGTGGAATTAGGTAAGTTTTTTAAGATTTTGTTACTTATTTCGTCGTGTCCAGGGGCTTTCTTTAACCGTTTGTTGTAATTAGTGGTAGAAAAAGGACTGTATGAAACTCAGGATACTAGCTTCTTACTGGCTCGTATCTTAATATCAATGCATGCTCGTGTATTAATATCCGTAAATATATAGTTTCATAATTTATTATTATTATTATAATGAGAATACAGAACTATACTCTTATTACGAGTGCGTTGTGCTGTTATAACATAGCTGTTACTCACTGTTAGTTGCACTTACCAATATTCTTATTACATTGTTCTTTTGGGCAAGCCAAAATAAAAGAATTCTTAAAAATTTAAATCACGATTTATTTTAAAGAAAAAATAAATTAACTACGGGTGTAAGAAAATGTATTTTTAACATATCGTCACTCGCGCGGCCGTTCAAAACACGACTACTCTAGCGTTGGACTTCGCCCCCTTTATTTAGTTTTCTACAATTTTTTAATATTTACGTTTTGGTACAGCAACGTATTAATTATTACACAACATTTTAAATATTAAATATTCTTATAATACAGAAAAATATTACTTTGGTCAAGAATGCAAAAACAAGTTTGATTCTGTCAAACAGGCCCAATATTTACTTCAGGTGATGGCGACACAGTGCATAACAGAGTTAAGAAGTTTATCGATACCCTTCTCAGATACCGTTAGAAGTTGCTTTTATTCGTGGAAGACTAACATTCCTTCCGTAACTAGTAAATAAACTTCGGTTTGACCCTAACCAACCGCGCGTGTAATGGAGTGCTAAATTAACAATTTTTAAATTTACATACATATCAAGAAAGTAAGAATTACGTGCAGTGAAAGTGGTATGTATAATATGTATTATTCTACTCCCATTGTATAATACTATCATTTGATGGCTGCAACCAGTTGCATAATGATACTCTAAGATATAGATT